GAGCCGCCCAGAGTCACCCATTGGGGGAGATGGGCGGCATACAAATTTAATAAATAAATAAGTAAATAAATAAATTTTAAAAATGCAGCAGGCCTGTAAATTGATTGGAGCTCAAGTTTTATTTACCAGAGGCTTGCAGTATAAATCAAGGGGAAACTGGATGAACAGGTATGCAGAAGGAGTAATAAACCAAGGACTTCAAAATTTTTGTTCAATTCTGTTTACAAATTTGAGTGATGGAGATGAGCATGCTGTAGCTCAAGGGGAAGTAATCTTATAGGACTTGCAGGATATATACTGAGTGTATTCAGAAAATGAGTGGCATGGGAGACTTACATTGGTGCCCATGGGCCCAACACTGCCTATTGTTGTTGCAGCTTACATTCATTTATATACCTTTTCTACACCCTACATAAATATTAGATACATGTCAACTTATAATTGGACAGTGCATGTTGGGATTTGATTCTTGGAAAAAAGACATGGCTGCTTTAAAGAGTTACACACAAAATGAAATGCAAAGCATTGCATATTCTTATATATAGCATAAATCAGTGTGATCCCATTATAGAAGATCTTCAGTGGTAAATCAAATTATTCTGAGATGGTTGCTCAGAATTATCATAAACAATAATGGGCACCCAAGAAGGCAGATAAACGGGAAGACAATGACCTTCAACCAACTATAATCCCAATTCCCAGTTTTCATTTTAAAAAAAAGGCAAATTTTTAGCTCTCCCTTAGAGGCAGCGGCTTGCAAACAGGCTTGTATAGCAGAACATGAATTTTCAAAGACCCTATAACCAGGAGTTTGAATTCTGCTCAGAAATAGAATGATGTAAATTAAACTGTAGGGGAAAACTTTTCTTTCCTATAGCTAATCCCAGTTTAACATTTGGACCAGAGAAGTTTGCGCCAGAGAAGTTTCCAAGAAACTTTTTCAAAGAGTGTTTGGAGTTTACACTAGAACTTATGGGATGTTGTCATCAAGTCCAGATCATTGTTTCAGAAATGTGTGCATCTAATGAACTAGCCTTAGCTGTACAAATGCACTTCTGGACATTTCTGAAATCTGGAACTCCATTCAAGGTTAAATCCAGGAGTTTTAAGAAATTCCATCCGATGTAATTTGAATTTCTATTCTCTACTCTGCTTTTCAGGTGATCAGGAGCAAGTGCTGATTGCTTTCTCCAGATCCAGGCCATTACAGATATCAGTAACGTATTTAAACAGGTTTTTAGATGTCAATGTTCAGCTGAGGTTTGAATCACAAGTGGAAAGATGTTGGGTGGAATACAGACTTACCCATTATGATACAAAAAGCAGGAAAAAAAATTCTGAATATCCATGTTCAACATCTCTACTGAGAACAGTATTTGTATAGATGTATTAGTTAATCTATTAGGAATAACTTTGTTAATACAGCTAAGATCTTGTGAGCAGTTTTCAATGTTTATCTTTTAATTGCCAGATATTTCAACACTCTTGGTTGTTTTCAGCCAAAGTATTTTTTGTACTTTCAAATGCCACTGATTTACTTTGGTTTTTCTATCTTATGTGATAAAGTTGTCATTGTTATGATGAAGGCGCTGATGCAACAAAATATCAAGTGCATTCTTAAGATTGCTCTCCTCTGTTTTCCTGCTCTTTTTCTTTTTAATGTCAAATGTCAAATGGCCTTTATGAAGCTTCTTTATTGGCACTACATAAATAATTTTCTGCATTAGCACTCTCCAATCCCCAGGGTTTTCTACTATTCTGCATAAACTTTTAAATATCATGAGACATAACTCTAAGCAACAGAACACACAGTGAATACGCTACATCAGGGATCAACTTTTTTTTCATTTTTTTTCAGCCACCAAGGTTTGTATGTGTGTGTGGTGTGTGTGCATGTGTGTGCCTTCGAGGCAGTGTTGGCTCCTGGCAATTACCTGGACAAGTCCCTGCAGTCTTCTTGGCAAGATTCAGAAGTAGTTTGCCGTTGCCTTCTTCCTAGGATTGAGAGGCAGCAGCTGGCCCAAGGTCACCCAACTGGCTTCGTGCCTAAGGCAGGGCTAGAACTCCCAGTCTCCCAGTTTGTACTCTGGTGCCTTAACCACTACATCAAACTGGATCAACTTTTTTTTTTTTCCCAGCCACCAAGGTTTTCAGGAGGCATAACTGATGACACAATGATGTCATCAGAGCAGGCAAGGCCAAATTACTTCAGTTGATTATTGAGGGGAGAAGCTTTAGAAGACAGCAAATCAATTATTTTGGGGGGAGGGGGAATGGAAAAATCATACCACTGAAAACATATGTTTTTGCCACTGAATTTCAGCAGTGTGATCTGAGGGTATTATGTTAGCTGGAAATTAGTTGCGCAATGTTTATGGTCTATGGGTTGCAGCTATCTATTTCTGCTGCCCAAATAAATTATAATCACATCCTACTTTTGACTCCTATCCTGGAAAAAAAATCCAGCAAATGCTTGTTTTGCAGAGTAGAACTGAACCGATTTTCATCTATTATTTTAATAATATTTACAGAGGCAGATTTAAGAGCTTGCTCTGAGACTTCCTGGATCAGCAAAGAAGACTAGGCCACACCCATCATATTATATGGCACCATACAAAGATACACACACTTAGGATTAGGTTGTCAGTTAATATCCAAGCTATAACCACCTTCATCAGTTATCTCTTTGAAGATGTCTTTAACTTATATAATGATCTTCACAGAGCAAACTGTCTATCACTTACCTCTA